GCCCCAYGGCAGGAGCACCTGAGTGCTGGYTTCATGRCCTGACCCCACAGRGCTTGRTGGAGACCTTTGGGATCCTGTCCATGTCTGAAGGGRGGTGAATGACCAGTGAAAATATCTGGGGATGTGAGAATGTCATGATTTACCCTTTATGTTTGACCAAGAAGGAAATAGGGGCATTGTGGGCACAAAACCATCTGTCCAYGGAGAGGCTGAGAGGCCACCACCAAAGAACATCTCAGCGTGTAAGAACAGCAGGAGCATGAATGGAGTTGTTTTTTACCTCACGGGAGCCAAAAGTTTGTGCAAAGATYTGAAGAACACTTCARGTCATGTGGTCTAAGATGGGAAATAATACTTCAAGTCATGTGGTCTAAGATGGGAAATCCACAAACTCTTGAGGTGTTCTCTCTTTATTTGCACTCAGTGGTTGCTTTCATTGAGGAGGTGTTTGAAGAGTAGAACACAGCCAGACGCAGAGTGTTAAACCAAAATCTTTTTCTATCCTGAAAACTGCTATAATTTCCCTTTAGCTGTTGGACTGAGCACTCTGGTCTTGTGGAAGATGGGGTGGAAAAAGAGGATCTGAAAGGTGCCCTGCAACCCAAACTACTCTGTGGCTCTATGGAATCTTGAACTGGTTACGTACATCAGCATCAGAGGGTGGAAAATTAGAAACCCTTATATATTTTAAATTTGTGAAGGAATAATAATTTTGCTGTGGGTTGGCTGTTGATTTCTTTTCTTTTTTGTACCCTTCCACGTGATAATGTAAACTGAATAAATTATTTTTTTTTAACTTTGCCTGGTAGTAAGCACATGTTTTATGTGAAACTGTTATAGATAGAAGAAAAACGAAGAAACAAGTGGCCAAACTTACTTACACAGTGCCCTGCTAGAAATTAATTGGGATATTCTTGAGAATTTAGGCAGATATTTTCCATCAGTGGAGACACTTTGAGGGCTGGTCTCTTTGCGCCACGGAGGAAAATCTTTGGTGAATACGAGTGCCCATGATCCAGAAAATAATCATAGGGTTGGAACYTCCATGGGAACTGAGATCTTTTGAGTGATGAAAAGTGTGAAAAATAGGGACTCAAAATGGGAAGAGCAGAAATACAATGAAGTMATCCAAAAAGGAAGTAAGGAACTTGGTGGGAAGGGAAGACATAAGAAATCTATGCAATACTTGAGATGTTTAGATTCTGCATTTTCTTAATGTTCCCTTTCAAAACTGGAACACCAAAATAGTAAATTCGATCCTCCTAACCTAGATGCCAGGCTTGGTTAGATAACTTCCACAAATATCCAAATTTGAGCTTTCTAGCTAATTCAATTTTATCATCCTAAATTGCAAAGTACAAATTTTTTATGCTTGGGATTTGCTAAGACTGGACATGTTCTCRCAAAGCCAAAAAATATCCAGTTACTCAGGAACAAACCTGGGGGTGGTTAGGACATATCACTAAATTGTTGACCTATTTCATGGACCAGCAAAGGGGGTGGGGTACAAAATGCTGATCCCCACCCCAGCCTTTTCTGCCTCCTGAGAATAATAAAAAATTAAAGAAAAAAAGATTGCACAGAAAAGAAACAATCCTGCATCTATTCTGCTGAACTTTCACACCTTTTGAAGGAAGTGGCTAAATAATCTGCATTTGAAAGAGCTAGCATCAATATTAGTATTAAACTTCAATTTTCTTCATGCAAAGGAAATTATTGGCCCKGCATCCATGACATCACTGGAAAACCACATCATCATTTATTTTCACAGCTGGCTGTCCAGCTGTAATGCTGGAGAAGGGCTGGCAGAGCTCCTTCCCCCTTCCAGCAGTGCACTGTGACATGTGACAAATGCAGTGACGTGCCAGTGTCACCAACCCAGACCCTCCTTTTGTCCCCCAGTGCAAAGTCAATTAAAATGGTGTTAACTGCAGCAAATCCCCAGKGATGACATGGGCTAATCAAGCAGGGCTCAGCACATCTSTCCTGKTAAAAACTACTCATCCRWGTGCTGCCTGCCCAGTGCTGGGCAYKGAGGCTGARTTTGGGGCTGTGAACCTGAAGTGCCAATTGGTATCTACCCAAGCATTGTCATTTTTTGCAGCCCTGAGAGTCCCGTTGCAGAAATCGGATGAAGGGTTTGATTTTTACTCAGGGCAGAAATTGTGACTTGTTGGTGACTTTGTCTTAGACCTTATGTCCCAGCACCTCACTTGCTAGGGATTGAAAAGTGGGAAAGGTCTGTTTTAGAAATTCTGTAAGGAAATTAGGATTAGAGGTATAGATGAGGTGATTCAATGCCTGCACAGGTGCAGCAGAGCAGCTCAAGGATGGGTTTCGCTTGATGCGTGGGTTTAACATGGCAGACTCTGCCACATATAAGTGGCTATAAATCCTAGCACTTCTCCAGCGGTAAAAACCTCATCGAAAACCTGCCTGARCTATTGAATGGTCTGTGGGAAATTACATATTGTTGTGATGGTTGTTTTTATTCTCTTTCCACTTGAAAAATGCCTGCCCGCCGGCACAAAGTTGAACACAACTTGACCTCACCCACTGAAAACATGCTCAAATTTTGCTGACGCTCTGTGGGGAAAGAGGAATCAATGCCTAAAGGTCCTTTTCCCTAAAAAAGCTTAGAATCATGGAATCATTAAGGTTGGAAAAGACTTCCAAGATCATCGAGTCCAACCTTTGACCAAACAATGATGTTCTCAGCTAGAGCAGGCACTGCTGCTGCGTCCAGCGGCCGGGAGGAATGCTGAGCTGTAGCTGCCACTTCATCAGCGCCTGCAGGAGGCTCTGACAGCAACAAAGACTTCCACAGCACAGATAAGTCATGAAGCTCTTAGAGATGATCGGGCAGAACACTTCCATGGCACAGATAAGTCATAAAGCTCTTGGAGATGATGGGGCAGAAAAGGACGCTCTGAGTGAGCGCGGTGATCCCGTAACAGGAGCCCAAAGCCCCGGAGCCAAGGGCAGTGGTGATTCACTGGGCAGGGAGGATTACAAACCTCCCTCCTGCTAATGGCTAATGCAAACACGTTGTCTCTCTCTCCCCGCTATGCCAAACATCTCCCATTGGCATGTGGCAATGCTAACAGGAGGAAGGTGAAATGAAAACACTGCTCATACGTATTACTCATGGGCAAGCTGTGGATTCCACATCCTTTCCAGGTTTTTTTTTTTTTTTTTTTTTTCACAAACAAATCTCCTCTTCCTTTGAGCCTGTAAATTAAATGTATCAAGGGATTCTTAAAATGCTGCCGAGCACAGATCACAACTTACTGTTCTTATTACAATAATGTCCCCTTTCCGTCCTATTTACATTCATAGGAAGGTGAGATTAGGGAAATATTGCACTTTTTTTTTTGTCTCAGTGCCATGGAGCTGATAGAAATAAAGAATACTTTTTAATCAGTTTTACATGAGTGCCCAGTGTTTCGCTCTTTTGGCTGAAATGGTGATTAAATTTCTTTTTGGTGATGTTTTGAGGGAAGAGAGTCACTGTGAAAAAACATTTTATGCTCAGAACAGAGTTACAATACATTTTTTGCATCTTTTGAATAAATATAGAATAGAATAGATATGTGACTAGAATAGATTTGTGAAGTAGTGRGGGAAAGATGGACATAACAAAACGTGTAACAGTTCTGATGCACCCGTGAAGAGGGATATTTTTACGGCATTAGTTGCGAGAAATCCCATAATTAGCAGTCAGTCCATGCAGGATGAAATGATGAAAGTTTAGCCTTTCCTCCAGCTTGTATATCTGAGATTGAAATGCCATCATTAGATAATGAACATCATGTTGTCTGAAGCCCAAAATGGCCATCAGGGTGCTTGGTTTGTCCACAGGCAGTTTTGTAATTTCTTTCAGTTCCKTCTATATTGAGCCAACCAAGACCTTCACTACTTGTCCTTCAATCAAGTAACCTGTTTTGAAGCCTGGAGCCTTGTTCTAGCATCACTCATCATCCTAAGAAATGTGTGTCTGACTGTTATTTGAATCTGTCTAACTCTGCCTCTTGGCCATTGGATCCTGTCAGGCCACTTGAGGAAAAGGCACTTTTAAACTTGTGCGTCTCCCAAGAAGATAAATATCTGTGTAAATAAAGTTGTCACTCAGTGTTCTACTTRGAAAGATAAATAGATAGAGCTTTGAAACTCTAATTTAAGCGTTTTCCTACCTGTTTTCAGGGGGATTAAGTTGGATATAAGGAAAAGGTTYTTCTGTCTCCAGAGGGTGCTGGMWCTGYCCAGGCTCCCCAAGGAATKGGCACRGCCCCGAGGCTGCCAGAGCTCCAGGAGGGTTTGGACACGCTCTCAGGAACAGGATGGGATTTTTGGGGTGTCTGTGCAGGTACAGGAGTTGGACTGGTGATCTTTGTGAGTCCTGTGAGAGACTGGAAAGATTCATGTCTTGTTGAATGAGTTTTTTTGGTGCCTTCTGGGTCCCTTCCAACTCAGGTCATTCTGTGATTCTCATCAAGATTTACCATTTTGTCACTGGTAAAATCTCCAGAACAACGAAAACGTAAAATTTCTGGCTGTAGTAATGTCTCAGCTTCCATACAAATATCCTATCAGAGCCAACAGGAGAGCGTGCTTTGCTCTGACATGTGCACGAATGAAAAGTGGCTCAACAGCTTTAACACCTCACACAAATTCATCTGCTGCGTATAACACATGCACATGCATTACAGCAGGGGAGGCAGCGTGTTCACAGGGAAGTGTTTTATTTGCAGCAAAATCTGTCCTGACTCAATCCCTCTCTGCCCATGGGAAGTGTCTCCAGCAGTTATACTCTGATGTGATGATTTTTGACACCTGTTGGCATTTTTGGGTTCACTGTGCCTTGTCCTGGGTTTGTTTGGGTGTTGGGTGYRTGRATCCATTTCTGGWKTCTGTCAGGTTTGGTGATGACTTTGATAAATGAAGTAYAGGGTGAGGGCTTTMTYCYRTTGTCCTGATGTSTTTTTTTCCTCCTTCCTCAGTTTACGAGGTGGTGACAGTGACAGGAGATGTCCGGGGAGCAGGAACCGATGCCAACGTCTTTGTCACTCTCTTTGGAGAGCACGGGATCACTCCCAAGACTCATCTCACCAGCAAGTAAGTGCCTGGAAGGAAATCTGCACCTTGGAGGCCTGTCCTTTAGGGACTGTTAGAGCATTCTGATGAAACATAATATCGTGCTGATGGATGCGGAGGGAATAAATCGATGAGGTATTTTAAGATCACCAGGGAAATCTGAATTTTTGCCATTGCGTATTTCTTACCCAATCCGYCGCAAACCTGCATTCCCTCATGTAGGTGGAAATCCACATTATATAAGGCTCATACTTGCAAGGTGTGGGGATATTTGCTTTTCCTAAAGCTTAAATTAGGAGCTCCCGATTTAGGAGCTGAGAATATTCATTGCTTGCTGGAGTGGGCACGATGGGCTGCATTCCCATGCCTGGATCCCACAGAGGTCTCCATGCTAGTCAGGTACAGACAGAAGTGTCCTCGRATGATTCTGAGGAGTAACTCAGTGGGTTTGAAGTTATGTTGATGGATAACCACCTACAGCCAGCCACAGGAAACCTGAGGCAAGCAGAAATGGAAGGATTTAAGCTGATTCCCAGTTTAGATGGGTTTCATCCTGTCTGCTGTGTGCCTTGCTGCACACCACTGTAGTTGCACATCACTCTGGTGGCCCTGTTCTCTTTTCCTCCAGCCAATGTCAGTGCCATCCTATGGATGCAACTTCACATTCCTTAACAGTATGATGAACTTATGAAAGACGTATTTTACAATTTAGAAACCTATTAAGAGACTTTTGACTCTTAAATAGCTTTCTTTCTTTTTGTTTATTCTTTTTTTTTTACTATAAAAAGTAAGCATCAGGGCCAGCAGGTGCTCATTTCCCATGAAAGCAGAATGACTTTTGACAAAGTAYCAGCTCTGCATGTACTAATTTCCCCTTAGCCAGGCAACTGCACTAAGACAAAGCAGAAATCACTTCTCCAGAGGGTCTGAGAGAGGCTGTGTGTCTCTGTTTTTTCAGTGTTCTTGTTGTTTTGGTTTACTTGAAAATGTGTTTCAGAATTATTAATCCTGTGCTAATGTCACACGGTAACTTCACATTTTCTCCATTTCTACAGCGCCGACAAGAGGTACCTGCAGCTATTTTAAATTTTACCCTCAAAAGAGCTTCTCTTCCCAGTGAAACAACTCAAACATGAGAGTCTGTAAAGAAAATGATATGGGAATGGTAAAGAAAATACATGAAATTTCAGCCCTGTTTGCCATATTTGAAATTCAGAAACCGGAGCTAGGCAAAGGAGGAGTTCTGTTACCCCAGCATCCCTAGAAACACCAGGAACAGYTTCCTGGTTGCATATTACATGTCTGTATGAAATGCTTTGTTCCTGTTGTGTGATTTTCATCCAGTCACCCCAACAAACTGACAAAGGGAATGCCATTTTCCTTGGTTTAAACAGAGAAGGAAACCAAGGCAAAGGAGGTAAAAGAGGACATGGTTCTTGGCAGGTCAGGGACAGAGCTGGGAGCAGCAGCAGCAGCTCTGCTGTGGAAAGCCCTCCCAGCCTCCAAACCAGCTGTGTAGCATTCAGCAAAACCATCAAAGCTACATCTGTGGTCAGCATTTACATAAATGGCCACTTCACTGGGAGGGCAGTCATCTGCTCATGGCTAGGGAAAGGATCCAAATATTACCCAAAAAATTTAATAAACACACTCTCTGCCCTTTAGAGAAGAAGTCAAGAGACCTCTATGACAGATTTCTCTGTCAGCTGGGGTGTTAAACAAGCTCCTGGTTGTGCAGGTGGTCTTTGCTGGCACTTTGGGTAATGCCTGCCCTTCCCTCCTGCTCTTACCACTTTTATTTTGTGAAAGGAAAAAAAAGAAAGGACACACAGAGATTATTTTARGCCACAGCTGCAGCAGCACTCTGAGCTTGTTCAGACCTGAGTTAGCATTTTGGGCTTGGTCCCTGTTGCTGTGGAGAGCAGATGGCTGAGGTGTGGTAAGCGAGGATGAAAGGCTCAGGAAGCCAACCTYGTGCAGTTCAGGGCTCCTGAAACTGATCCCGTAGGAGGTGACCGCTAGAACTGCAACCACAGCTTTCCACCAGRGGTTTCCCAAACATCAGCGAAATTTCTGTGTCTCTAAGCAAATCCTGGTGCATTACAGTGCTCCATCGAGGAACGATGAGAAAATATCTAGGCCAGATGCAGGAGCGCCTGCAGGACCTGTCTTGTCTCCTAAATATGGAACAAACTCCCCCCCCCACACACACACACTAAAATTTGTTATGCAGCTTTGTGAATATGGCAAAAGGATGGAATCTCATGCATCTTTCAACTAAATGTTTACACGAGTTCACTTATGACTGCAAATGCATGAYATTTTATAGGTGTCTACATTTCCCCATGTAGGACAGACAGTTAAAATATCATGCATTGCCTAAAGATGGTACTACCATTTCAGCCTCTGGTTASAATGGGTTTTTCCTGTTTCTTTCCTGACTGTGTGCTGGTGGTGAAAGACATGACATTTCAGGTCTTTTTGTCGTGCGTGGTAAGGGGAAAACATGAAATATTGTATGTTTATAACATTGGCCAGCAATGAGGTAACCGTGAAAAACACAAACCTTTGTCATGACTGGTCAGGAGTTCTGGAGGTGGCAGCRCTCAAAATCTGAGCCAAGAGATGARTTCCAAAAGAGAGGCTACAAGAAAGGGCAAGGAGCGGCAGGACAAGGGGGAATTGCTTAAAATTGTCAGAGGGCTGGGTTAGATGGGGTACTAGAGAGAAATTCCTGGCTATGGGGATGGTGAGGTACTGACATGGGGTGCCCAAAGAAGTTGCCCCATCCCTGGAAGCGTCCAAGGCCATTTGGACAGGACTTGGAACAACCTGGGGTAGTGGAAGGTGTCCCTGCCRTGGCRGGGRTGGGATGAAACGAACTTCAAGGTCCCTTAGAAMCCAAACTATTCTATGATTCTGTGATTTATTTAGGAAAGGAGATTTAGTCGAGTACAACTGAGGGCCTGAGAAGGTCTGGAATGACCCCTCCTTTGCAGTCCCTGTCAGTTTTGGGGGACAGCATCACTGGTGCTGGATGTGGTGGGTGGGTGCTGGCAAATTGCTGCTTGGGCCCAGCAGCTCTTGGCAAAAACCCCATCAAAACCCAGCTCACACAACTYTTCAGTTCCCCATCTGCCAACCTACACCAGATAGAGCTCAGCCAGAAGCTAAAATCACTGCCACAGAGGTTCTTTCCACTGGCTCCATCACAGACACATGGGTGGACACCAAGGCTTTGTTTGGTGGYATTTTGACGATTGTCAAGGCTTTTTCACAGGGGTGAATTGGTYCTCTGTGGTCCAGCACTGACCAAAGGGTGCTGATCCACCACAATATTTTATTTCTCCATGTTCCTGCACTTCCCACCTGGCTGAGGCTGGGGAAAAAGTGCAACACTCAGCTGGGAGGGCCAGCACATTAACAATGTTTTTTCAAATTCTGTGTATTCCTTGCTGGTGTAACATTCCAGTGTCAGGCTTGCTTGGTCCAGGTGGAGAGAGCTGCAAATAATATTTATGGAGAGGGTTTTCCTTTGAGGGTTTTCCTTTGAGGGAAAAAATAAAAAAA